ATGTCAGAGAGAACATTCGGTGAACTACGTGAATGAACGATGCTTTGTATGTGACGTGAAATGTTTATGCCTGATCGACGAGTGACCACTGGAAATGTCCAGGAGACGCTGCGAGAGGCCAGCGCCGAGCCAGGCAGATCCCAGACGTCTCGATGGCATCGCAGGCCCTCCCGTAGATTGTAATGGGAACGGAGACGTCTGCCCCAGCTGTGGGCTCTCTGACAGCCGGCTGGGGGCAGCGCCCATGGCGGCCTGTGGTGCTTGAGACGGGCACGTCTTCCCCCCTCAATGTGGGCTCCACCCTGCGGCCTCCTCTCTTCTTGCTCCTTCTGCGCACACCTCGCTCTTGGTTTGGAGATTCCTGGGGTGGGCTTGGCTGCGTAGGAACCCACCCGAGTGAGTGGTGGAGTAACCCGCTTGATTCTCCACCGTGGACTGTGAAAGACGTCACTGTCGTCTTTTGAAAATGAACAGAAGCCACTGGGGGTGGACTTTCAGGCAGATGTAAATGAGGGAAGAGAATTAGCTTGTAACAGACTTCGTGGCCCGGGCCTCTCACCAGCTGACCCTTGAGAAGCCTTTCTTAGCCCCTGTCTGCCTTCGGGCGAGGGCTGAGGTCACCAGTAAACAGCAGGGACCGGCCTTTGAGCGTGAATGGGAGCTCCTCCTTGCACAATGGAGCTCCCTTGACCTGGGATGTTTGCCGTCTGTAAGTGGATTTCAGGGTCCCACCCAGCTCTAAATCTGCTCCAGCCCCTGGTCACCGCGTGTGTCCTCTGCCTGAGATGGCCACTCGTGAGCAAAGTGGAGACTCAGAGGTCCCTTCCAGTGGACAAGATGGGCAAGATGCTGCCCAGTCTCCACTACAAAATGGTTGTCCTAAAAGAAAGCCAATCCTCCAGCCAGTTTGCAAGAGGAAGGAAGTTTGCTGGGGCAGTCCAGTTGTTTTAGGACTTCAGAAAAGATCTGAAGATAAAAGAACAGTGCCACCTCCTGGATGCTGAGACCGCTGTCCAAACAGGCCTGGATTCGGGTGACAACTTTGTGTGAACAAACTCCCACAGTTGGGGTTTCTTCCCCTCTGGCCTCGACTTTGTGTGAACAAACTCCCACAGTTGGGGTTTCTCCTCGTCTGGAGTTGAGCTGGGTTGCAGGACGGTCAGGACAGTGTGAGCTGAGGGGTATTCCTGCTGAAGGGGGAAGCCAGCCATTGTCCCTGCCGGGCACCAGACAGAGCGGCCTTCCAGGTGGGCTTCAAGAGCCAGTGCCGGGGGGCCACGTCAACCCGTGAACCCCACACCTGGTCCCCCTGTCTCTGCTGCCCCCTGTGCCTGGTCCGGTTCCCACTGCCCTGTGGGGGACCGGAAGGGAAGTGCTGTCCTCTCCCGCCCTCTGACTCGAGGCCCCTCTTAACCTCAAGGGGATAATTGCCCGGGAGCCCCCATTCACATCTGCCGAGACAGGAATGTGGAGACGGGTGGTTAGCTATCTGGGAGGCATTGTGCTTGCACAGAGCGGCTCTGTGAGGGAGCCGGGCCCTGCCTGACCCTCTCGTTGAACTGGCGGGTGGGGTGACCCTGCTTCCTGCCCCAGACCTCTGACGCCGGAGCCCCCGACGACACATGGCAGAGGAGGCACCTCGGGGTGGGAGCTCGCTGGTGTCCCCATCACGCTCCTCCCTCTCCTTCTGAACTGGGTCTCAATGTAACTCTGCCACAAAATTGCATACGGTGGACAAGGGCCCTGAGCAAACTATCAGCGCAAAGAGCAAAATCGCGCCGTCCTCGAGTGAGGGTAGGGAGGCAGGAGGACGAAGAATTACAGGTGCAGGTGGAGGCCACGCCCCGTGCGCACAGTGCTCCGGAGCCCGCTGTCCACAGAGGGCGCCACGTGACAGCGGAAGCCACGGGCCTTAACACCAGTCGGAAAACCTCCTTAATTATTTTCAGCTTTACGAGGAGCGGCCAGTGGCTGTTTAAGATGGAAATTATTTTCATATCGTCCAGCTGTATGACCCGCCTTTGTGCAGTTTCCAGCGTACTCTGTGCATAGGGTAACCCTATCTATCTATTCATTTATTTATTTATTTTGGTGAGGAAGATTGGCCCTGAGCTGACATCCGTGCCCATCTTCCTTTATTTTCTACATGGGACGCCGCCACAGTGTGGCTTGATGAGTGGTGTGTAGGTCCACGCCCGGGATTCCAAACCTTCAAACCCCTGGCCGCCAAAGCAGAGCGAGTGAACTTAACCACTACGCCACTGGGCTGGCCCCTGAGTAACCCTGTTTTTCAAACCTAAAATGGGGATTTGGTCTAAGGCACAATCTCAGAGTTAGTTGTGCTGCAGAAAACACAGTGTTGGGCTCCGTGGCCCACACTGCGGGTCGACGCCCTGCAGTGGTCGGCGGTCTGTGGGCTTTGCACTCCGAGGGCCTCAACAGACAGAAGCACGGGACCAGCCTCTGTGCACGGGAGGAGGAACTGCCAAGTTAGCTGGATTCTCGGTGCTGTTCAGGACGTCTTCCTCCCGTTCACCTCTGCTTCGTTCGCTCAGCAAGAATTCTTGGATCTCCCACCATGGGAGCCACTGGGCCGGACCTGGGGGTTGGACGCTGTGAGTGGTGTGGTGGGTGCTCCGGGGGACAGGTAGATGCCATGAGGCCCATGCCCAGGCTAGGAGGCAGAGAAGGCCTCCCTGAAGAGGTGACCTCTCAGCTGGAAAGTGAGTGAGATTAGACTGGCAGACAGAGACGGGAAAGCGTTACAGAGAGGCAGCTTGTGCAAAGGCCCTGAGGCTGCAAGGACCTCAGCCCATTTGAGGAACTCTGAGAGTGTGAGGTGGCCAGTGCCTGGAGAGGATGGGGGGTGAGGAGGCCCGTAGATGTGCCTCAGTGGAACCAAATTCACAGTGACGGCAGTCCAGCCCGTGAGCCTGTTGCTGTGTCACAAAGTACAGGAAGGGTTGGTAATCTCAGTCCTCTCGCACACGCGGGAACACTGTCTGCCATCGGGGGAGCTGGACAGAGAACAGGTAGCCCGTGGTGTCCCTCAGTGAGTTTCCTGATGAGAGGAGTGGCTCCGTCAAAGGCTCTGCCATCAGAGTCGTCTCAGGACGACGTGGACCTTCCCGCGGTTAGTGTCTTGCACGTGTCGTCTTCTTTCCTCTGGTGAAGTCTGGCGTTGAGTCCTGGCGGGAGATCGAGATCCGGGGCAGATTCTCTGGGGTCTGCCTTGACACTGACACGGGGTCCCTGCTTGTTAGAGGGCTTGCCCGCCCGCTGTGTCCCTGCCGTTTTCCGCTGCCCTGGATTGTCTCCCGGGTCTGAGCGTCGATGACGTGCTTCTCCGGGTTGCAGAGGTTGAGTCTGAGGAAAAGGAGTACAGGTTTCATACCAGGTGGTGAGTCGAGAGAAGGGAAACACAGCGTAGGGTCTGAGCTTCCAGCCCCGTCCCGGCTGTGCATCAGTCGCCCCGAACATTCCACACCGGTGAGGTGTGGACGGCCGGTCACCTCATCTGGGTTTAAACCAACAGTTCAGGCTCTCCTCCAGCGTTGTTTCCAACCCTGTTTTCTCCCACGAGAAAGTCGTCCTGACACATTTCGCTGGGAGGCGTCCGCGCCCCGAGCTGTCCGTGGTGGGGGCAGCGAGGTCCTCACCCTTTGAGCTTGACGAGCCTTCACTGCCACTCATTTCCTGACCCCGAATGCCACGGCCGTCCTGAGGCGCCCTTGCAGGCCCAGGGACACTGGCCCGGTCACCTCCTCATCAACACAGGCGGCGTCCAGAGCGGGCGGGTCGTGGCAGTTGGCGTTTCCACAGGTGACACTGCCAGGATCTCTGGGGCCTGCCTGCGCGTCTGACTGTGTCACCTGTTTACACTGCTCGTCGGCAAGACCAGAAGAGCAGGGTCGAGGCTGATCAGAGCCGATAACGTTTTGCTGCCTCCACTTGAATTTTCAGGGTAAAAGATCTCCATGACGCACACGTCCAGGCTGTTGGAGGCCTGCGTCCTAAACTGCGTGTAGAAGAATTCACCTTTTAAACCACTTGCAGGTCGTCAACGTGAGTCGCAAGTCTCTTTAGGGAAATTGTGTTAATATTGAGGACTGCACGTTTCGCTGTACAGCTGGGGTCTGGTGACATAAGACATTGGCCATAAATCACACGATAGCTAGCCTGGCGTTGACCAGACACGCAGAAGTCCCGCAGACACCGAAGCACATCCAGCTCCTGGGTCCCCTGCCAACGCGCAGCGTCGCCCGCTCTGCGGTGGCTACACGTCTTTAATGGAGGTTTTTCCCTAGGGTCTTGCAAACCTTCTTGCTGCTGGTCGATGCCTCCAGGGTGTGGCTGGAGGTGTGGCCAAGTTATTCCCAGACCCCTGATCTAGAACGTGGGGCCTGCAGACTGCTGAGCCGTCTTCCCCGTCGGTGTCAGGCTCAGGGACTCGGCTCGGTGCTGTCCTCAGTGTCAGGCGGCAGCGGGGCCCCGTGTGTGGCGCAGACCTCTGCCTGTTCCTGGTGTGTGTCTGGAGGCTGGGGACCCGCCACAGAGACCTGGTTTCCTCCCTGACCAGCAAGTCCTGGCACAGGCAGCAGGTGAGGCCCCCGAGTTGCCTGGACCACTTCCCAAACGCCATGGAGACTCAGACCACAGTATGTCTGTTCTCGGCGCTGTCTCCGAGTCCAGCCTCCCGTCCCAGCTGACCCGGCTCCCCGGGCCTCCCCTTCTGCCTGCCTGTCCCTCCCTCCTCTCCCTCTGTGCCTCTGACACACCACATTTTAAATGTTGATGAATCACTCAGCACACAGCTTTTTGTCCTCGGAGAAACAAAGGTTTCTGCATGCTGGAAACTGAAATTCCTTTTTCCAGGCACGTGACCGCTGGCCCCCTTAGGTGATTGCTGGTGTGCGCGGCTGGCAGGGCTGACCCAGACTTGTAGCAGGCGAGGCCGAGTTTCCTCCAAATGACAGTGTGTCCATCTGCTCTCCCCCCAGATGAAATCATGCACCAGGACATCAGCCCGCTCTGCGCCGCCGACATCCAGGACCAGCTGAAGAAGCGCTTTGCTTACCTGTCTGGTGAGTGCGTGGCTGGGAGCGTGGCCGGGGGAGGAGGGAGGGCCTGCACAGCAGGGTGGTGGGCCTCCCCTCGGTTCTCCGTGACCTTAGTGGACCCGTTCCACGTGGTGGGAACTGGAACATTCCTTACCGGCAGGCTGCTTTGGGTTTCACTGAAGGCCCGGGGTGCTTCGATGATGCCCGTGGGGAGGGCGGCTCAGCCCTAGCCGGCAGGCAGCCTCAGGGAGAGCCGGTCAGTCGGGGTCCCAAGAGGGACGCAGCCCCAGTGCTCCTGGCTCTGGTCTCCCGGAATCTGGCACTTTCCCACAACAGGTCAAGCAGGAACGGGGGTGTGGCACAGTCAGTGACCTTCTTGCAGCGTCCAGGGCTGGGGCCTCTCGAGCCAGCACGTCGAGCTCTGCGGCTGCGGCCCCGGGGAGAGGGCCCAGAGTGTGGCCGGCGAGGGCAAGGGGCTGGCGTGTCCCACGGGCCTGTCCTGGGGTCACTTTGCGTCCCTTTCCCCGTCCGGCTGCTGCCCTCCTCTCAGGCCCAGGCTCCACCTCCGCCCTGTAGGGATGTCGTCCTGCGCGACCCTGGCTGCTGGACGGTGCTGGTGTGTCGAGGCTGCGAAGGGTGTGATAGTTGCACCGGCAGCAGCTGGCCCTCGGAGCTGCGCGGTCACCCCTCCGACCGGGCGAGCCTTCCCGCCAGGGCTCATTTGGGGAAAGATGCACACACGCTCCTTACGCTGGTGAGGAGGGGCCTCCTGAGGAGGCAGGTGTTCTCGGCTCAGCCTCTGCCTCCCCTCGGCCCCCTTGCAGCTGCTCCTTTCCCCTTGGCCGGTGGGTCGGGGTTCCCTCCTGAACCCCGAGAGCCAGCCCTGCACCCCCAGGGCCGCCCTGGCCCGCCTGCCTGGCCCCCAGTGCCAGGAGCTGCTCTCAGGCCGGCCTGCCCCCTGACGTGCAGACCCGAGGTGTGGCCCTGGGGTTCTCGTGCCTCAGTGAGAGCTGAGGATCGTGGGTAGGAACAGGGAGCCTCCGAGATCTGTCAGCAGTGAGACGATGTCATTGAGTTTTCACGGTGGAGCCATCGCTGTGAGGGGCTCTGGCCTCCGGCCTCATGGAGGAAGGAGAGAAAGCAGGGTGCCCTTCAGAGGAATGAAAGTTCCCAGACAGGACTGGGGTCATGTCTGGCAGCAGCGAAATATGTAGGGAAGGAGCTGCTGTCCTTTGCCGGCTCCTTCAAGTCTCCCCAACCTCTTCACACCCCTTCAAGACCCCAGAAGGCTCATGGCTTTAGTGCACTGGTGACCCAGACTCATGACCTTGACCTTCCTCCAGGTCGTAATCCTGGTGCCCCTTGGCATTGAGCGGTTACCCCATCGGTGCCTGGGGAGGAGGCAGAACCCCAGGATGTCCCAAGGCCCCCCAGACACACCTCTTCTCTGTTATTTGAACATCATCCAGGTGCTCAGGGAGATTTTGCAGATGTAATTAAGGTCCTAAATCAGCTCCCTGTAAGATCACCCTTGGTGGGCCTGACCTAATCAGCTGAGCCCTCAAAGGGACCAGGCTCCTCCTGCCCCAGGGATTCCAAGTACGAGGGATTTGACTTGACCGAGGTTCCCCACCGCCGGCCTTGAAGACGGAGGGGGCCTCATGGCAAGGAATGTGGGCGGCTTCTGGGCGCTGAAAGCCACCCCGGCCAACACCAGCAAGAACTCGGGGACCTGAGTCCTACAAGCCCGGGGGCTGAGTTCTGCCAACACCTGAACAAGCCCCCGGGAGACGACCTCAGATGAGACCACAGGCCCGGCCGACACCTTGATTTTGGCCAACGAGACCCTGAGCAGAGGACCGCTGAGCCAAGCCGTGACTCCTGACCTACGCAGTGAGCTGACCGTGGTGCTGGTTTAGTCACCAAGTTTGTGGGAGTTTGTTGGAAAACGAACACAATGTCTTAAGCTTAAATGTCTGAAACAAGCCTGGATGGTCCTGGGTCTTCATCACAGATCATGGAAACCGTGCAGGTCGCTCAACAAAACCCGGGGGGAGTCCTCCTCCTCCCATCCATCAGGAAATCGGGGTGCTCTGCCTTTAATATAAGGAGACTCCGGGCAGCTATCACTGCCCTCACTGGCCCACCTGGGCCCAAACCACTGTCCTCCTGGCTGCGATTTCACCCCCTGCCCAGGATGTCCCCCCTGCCTGGGATGTCCCCCCCTGCCCGGGATGTCCCCCCTGCCCCAGATGTCCCCCCTGCCCAGGATGTCCCCCTGTGCCCGGGATGTCCGTGTAGGAAGGTTGAAGTGAAGGGCTCCTCGGCCAGGGCACCGATGACACATCGGGCGGGATCACTCTCCCTGGGGGCCGTCTCCACGCTGTAGGACAAGGAGCAGCACCCCTCTCCTCCACCCAATGGGTGCCAGCACCCCCATCAGTGTGATGACCGAAACCGTGACCCGATGTTGCCAGTGTCCCTGGGGCTGAGCACCCCTGGTGTGGACAGAGTGAGAAGGTCCTGAGTGGACAGCGGGGGCTGTCCTTGTGATCGGGCCCATCAGGCCACCTCCTGCCTGAGGGACGGCTTGTGGCCCGGCTGCCTCGGGAAATTTCGAATTCAAGTTTCCCCTGCGGAGCTGTTTCTCACTGGCCGGAGCCCGTGTTCTTGCTCTGAGCTCCCATACCACCCACCACCGGCATCCCCGAGACTCGGCTTCTTCAGTAACGAGGGGCGGGAGCTCCTCGCTGGACAGTGTGGGCCTCGGGCTTGTTTCCAGGAGGGACTCTGGTCTGACCTCCTGTGCTGTCCACCATTCCCCTCACCCAGCAGCCTCTGGGGCTTCGTCCATCACTAACCAGAACAGAAAACGACACGACTGTCTGCTGAGAATCCGAGTCTTCTTATCTCGGAGTCTGTGCCCCGCCTTCTCCTCTGCCGAGGGTCCTGGTGGAAGTCGCCTCACACATCTCGCCACACAGTCAGACCCCTGCTCAGAACGGTCACCCCGCAGGCCGTGCGCTTAGTCCCATGACGGCCGTCCCTTCAGGCTCTCAGCAGCCCCCTCTGAAATGAAATGACAGGAGCAGGGCTTTGTTTTAATCGTATTTGCTGACTCCCGCTGCTGCCCCGGGACTCGCTGGGCCCGCGTGTCAGCCCCAGTGACGTGGTGGACACGTCCTCTCCTGGGAAGGTGCCTCCGCAAGTGGTTCCGCCTCACGTCCTTGCCCCACCCAGGTCCCTTCTGCGTGGTGTGGGCATCAGTGCTGGGGTGAGCCCTGACCCCGTCCCCCCCACAGTCAGGTTTGCAGTTTGGGGACGTCCTGCCTTCTGATGGCCGTCTCCCGTCAGGAGCAACCTGCCGTCTTGGCTTCTACAGACCTGGCACTCTGTGGGGTTTGGTTTTGCAGGGTAATTACTTCAGCTTCCATCGACGCTTGTAGCTTCCAGACTTCGCAGTAATTAGGTAAAAGGCACAAAATCACCTGAAAAGGGCCTGGGGAAACAGGCCCCTGTGAGCACGTGGGGCAGCGGGAGGCTGCAGTGTGGCCTCTTGCAGGTGCAATGCCCGTCTTCTCAGTGAACCGGATGTCGGCAGCGAGTGCCTGGTTCCATGGCCCCTGATGTGGGTTACCTGTCACCGTGCAGACTGCCCCAAAATTTAGCTAGCTCGAAACACCCCCATTTGTTGATTTATTTCATTCCGAGAGTGGGGAATTCAGAAAGGGCTGGCTGGGTGGATCTTTCGCCCCCAGTGGTGCTGGCTGGGGGGGTTCTCTGACTGCGCCCACCTGGGGGGCGGCTGGAACGTTGGGGGGCTTCGCTCACACGTGTGGCGCCTCTGGGCCCCTTCGTGTCGCCAGCCCTTCCTCCCTGGCGGCACGTGGGCTTCCTCTCGGGACGGTGGACGCAGGGCTGTTGCTTACGTGATGGCTGGTTTCCAAGCGGCAGCGCTGAGCCGGGAGGGTGGACGCTGCAGTGTCTTTCGTCCCAGCCTTGGGAGTGATGGCCATCACTCTGCCATGTCAACGGGCAGAACAGGTCATCAGGCCAGACTGGGTTCAAAGAGGAGAGAGATGGACCCCATCCCTCAAGGGGCAGTGGTAGCCGTCTCCAGTCGCCCTGGCACTGGCCGCAGAGAGGCCTGGAGCCAGGCCCGTGTGACTCCTGTCTGTCCTCACCTCCTGCCCTCTCCGCTACCTCTCCGGATTGTTCGTGGGACAGTTCAGACCAAACATGCACCGGAGTGAACCCATGGCCTTCCTCTCTGAGCTCAGCCCCTCCCCGAGGCCTCGTCTGACTGGGGCTGCGCTCACCCTCCCTGACCCCCAGGTGCGCCCCAGCCGCCTGTGCCGATGCCTCGAGCGCCGTCTCTGTCTTCCTGGTGAAATGTCCTAGGTGCGCCCTCCCTTGGAAGAGCCCCACCCTGGTACCGCCTGCACCCTCCTCTCCCCGTACCGTGCACCTCCCTTCAGAGCAGCATTGTGTAACAGGTGGAAGGTCGGAGAAACCGCCAGATGCCCACACGAGCGTTAGTGCGTCGTTAGGGCTCAGCCTGCATGGACTATTTGACAATATTTAAAATAACCGTCACATCATTTGCACAGCACAGAAAACTGTAGTCCACAGTGTTAGGGAAGAGGCAGGATGCCAGCTGTTTATTCAACAGGATCTCAATTATGTAGAAAAATGCACAGAAAAAGGTTTGGAGGGAAACGTGTGCATGTGATGGTGGCAGGTAATGAGTGACTATTTAATTCATCTCACTTTTGTGTACGTTCCAAATATGTCCCTCAATAGCGCGCATTTCTTTCATAATAAAAATATATAACGTTGGAGAACACGCCGTCCATTTTAGGTGAACTACTCGGTGCTTATGTGAAATCTGCTGACGGGGGGAGTGGGACCCAGTGTTAAGAGCCGCCTCTGCTCTCTCCGCAGGTGGGCGGGGGCAGGACGGCAGCCCCGTGATCACCTTCCCGGACTACCCGGCCTTCAGCGACGTCCCGGACAAGGAGTTCCAGAATGTCATGACCTACCTCACCAGCGTCCCCAGGTGCGTGTTGCCGTTGCTTTAGAGAGGTTGGTGCGGCTCGCTGAGGCCCCGGCGGGTCCGTGAGGGGCCGAGCATTTGTCTGGTGGGTGCTGGTGGCTGAGGGGGTGTCGGGGCCTGCTGAGATCACGCAGCCACACCCTTCCCCTCCCCTGTGGGAGATGCCCGGCTGCAGCCCGGGACATTTCCTCCCTCTCAGAAGGTACACAGCCCTCATTAGACAAGCCAGCCACCGGGGGAGAGAGGCGCCGCAGCGCAGAGTGGCCGTGAGACCCTCCAGGACAAGGGCCTGACCTCTACAGCCCTCTTGCCGTCCGCAAGGGCCAGGCCTCCTCCCGTCCTTCCCCGGGGACAGCTGACCCCAGAGGCGGTTGTCTGGGCTCTGGTTCTGTTTTATTACAAGCAGAACTAGACCCGTCTTCCAGAAAGCCAGGGACACCTCCTCTGTGCGCCACCGGCTGGCTGCACTGGGCGGCGTCAGCCTCCATGGGCCAAGGGGTGGACACCACACGGCGGGGGTCGGCCTCGGCGTCCTTGCCCCTCAGGAGCGGTGGGGACATGGGCCTCTGTTTAGGGCGCAGTGCCCGACACGCTGTGTCAGGATGGGAACAACCTTGAGGTGACCTTTTCTTTCTCCTACCACGTAAATACGAGCGGACGTACGTGCAGGGGAGACTGATTGAAGGACGGAAGCTCGAGAACACTCTCCTCAAGTTCAGAATTTGTAACTTAGAGCTCCGTGATTGGTCTAATCTAGAAAACAGACCGAAAGTTTGGTCGGGTGATACTATCATGTAAAAGCCACTGATTGGTAACAACTGGTCAGTAACGACAGATCACCACCATCAGTGTGAGGGCGGGGGTAGATTCTTCTAGCAGCCTGGCTGGTGGAGGAAGGGAGGCCCGTTAGGTTCTAGGGGAGCTCTCCGGACGGACATGGGCAGTGAGCAGTCACTTGGCAGGAGAAGGGTCACTCGGGGCAGGGTCTTCGGTCACCGTCTCTGTTGACCTTCCTTTCTCGGTACCCCTCAGTGCGCCAGGCTCCGGGCAGCAGAGCTGAGGCGGGAGGGACGGCCGGCGCGCTGGGAGCTGAGTGGCCTTCAGTAAGGGCTCCCTCCCGCCGGCCGTGCCCCTCGAGGGGCTGAGAGACGTGCTTCGTGGTGGGGGCTGCCGTGCTGCAGAGCGTCTCCATGTGTCTTCTCCCTTGGCCCAAATCACGGAGACAGCAAGGTGGCTGTCACGCCCAGTCTGAAGATGAGGCCGCTGGACCGCGGGGGTGCCCTCACTCCAGTAAGACCAGGCGTCTGGAAAGCGCCTGGCGGGTGTGGGCTCCCCGTGTGGCGTGGCACCGAGGGGTGTCCGTGGGGTGGGGACCCAGGACGGTGGCTCCAGCACTCGGGGCACCCGACAGCAGGACGGAGATGCTGCATGACCCCTGGCGGTGGGGACACGCTGGGACAAGCCAACAAGCAGAAAGGGGCAGCGGTTTGAGGGCGAAATGACTGAACTCAGCGGTGGTTTTAGGGAGTGAAGTGGTTTCACCAGAAGAGGAGCCGGCCACGGTTGGCGGCTGACTGTGGGTGTCCTGTGCCATCTCACTGGTCCTCGGGTGGGGGAGTTCCTGCTCCCCAGCCTCCCCGATGGGGACGTCTCCCGGGGGTGGGGCAGTTCCACGTCCGGGGAGGCCCTGGCCCTCCACCCTCCCGATGGCCCCGGGGCCCACGGCCAGGTCAGAGCTCCTGGTGGACCCTGAGTGTCACGTGGTCTGAGTCTCTTCTCAGAAGCCAGAGCCGTCTCAGTCCTCTCACCCTTGAGCGATAAGCTGGGCTTGGTCCCCTTCATTCAAACTTCCTTCTGCTCATTTTCATTTTAGACAATCTTTGGAGTCACTCAATTACTGACTTCGCTTTTCCTGAGCTCTGACTGGCTAGAACCTGAAGGATTCACAGGCTGTCTGCGAATGCCGAGAGAGCTCAGTGCTCGCATGGGCTTCGCCATCTTTGCTGATAGAGTGGTTCTAGAACCTTCCATGGCCTCCTCGCTGTCCGTCTCATTTTCTCTCTGTCCCTTTCTTCTCGTTCCCCCACTTAGGGATCTAAGATCCAAAGTCCTGCAGATTAAAACTCACCACGAGACATCTCTACAACCGTGGTTGTAGTCACGGTTTCTGAACACCGGCCGGGGTGGTGGCACGCCCAGGACTCAGTGCCCAGTGTGGACAGTGGCGGCCCCGCGCAGTGACCGCTCAGCCTTGGCTGAACAAGCGGGCCTCCCGGCCACGGGGGCGCTCTATTTGGTCTCCCACTGCCCCTAAAATGGGTTCAGTGGTGAATCCTTCCTTGCCTGTGGGTGGAAACTCAGGTCATTCTTAGATTTTAAAACATCAGAGACCATTTTATATCTGAAAATGTCAACACCCAGTGTTCGAGCCTGGTCTCGAGGTCCACCTTCTTCTCTCAATCAGGCAGGACACTCAGGAGGGCAGCCAGGTCCCTAATGCCCTCTCGGGACCTTCCAGGCCGGCGCCATCTCCTCCCGCAGGGACACCACCCTCGCTGGTCTTGCTGGTCCTCAGACCTTCTGGCCTCAGGGCCTTTGCACTTGCTGTCCCTCGGCCCCCCATGCTTGAGATGGCTCCTTTTCATGCTCCAGGCCTCCTCCTCAGGGAGGCCCTCCATCATGCCCACTTAAAGAAAGAAGCCCACCCCTTCACCCCCAGGCCCCCTCGCCCATCTGGCTGGTTGGCTTTGTGGGGCTTTTCTGGAATGATCCTAATTGCTTTACGGCTTGGTTTTGGTCTATGTTTCCCTAGGAGGCAGGTGTGGGAGAGCAGGCACACGGTTCCCTGGTAAATATTTGCTGGACAAATAAACGTCCCTTGCAGGTGAATAAAGGAATTCACGTGAGCCGAGTTGCCTCACGGACGAGGGCCCCTCCTGTGGTCTCACTCAGCACACTTGTCTCCACTTCTGTCAGAACCAGCAGCCTTCATTTCTCTCTTTTAAGGGGTTCTTGTCCCCAAGAGAATGGAGCCTTTTCAAAACCCGGATCTCCAAGAACGCGCACGATCCACACGCAAGGTCAGAGGGCAGAAAACACCAGTCTTCCTTCGAAGCGGAGGACTGACTGCCGTGATCCTGCTTCATGGCACCGGGTGCCGAGGAGTGGCCGGGAGGCCGGCTTGAAGATTTGAAGCCCAGACCTGTGGGCTCCGTTTCCAGGGAAAAGGGTGTGTGTTGGGCATTGGCTTGTGTTCTTCACGCTTCTCTTCTTTCCCGTTGAGGGTGATAAAGAGCTCGGATGCTGGACTGGTGGGTCTGGACCTGTCAGACCCAATGAGCCCTTTTCATCAGAAGTAGAACTCCTAAATAGTAAAACCCAGCACATCCGTCATTTCAGAAGACAGCGCAGTGCCCTGACGCACGTGAGGGTCCAGCAGAGAAAGGGCGCTGGGCGTTCCCCGGGCCACCGAAGCAGAATGTGTGAACTTAACCACTACGCCACCGGGCCAGCCCCCGGGTGTGCGCTTTTAAATGTCAGTGCAGTTAAATGGGCCCATCTCTCAGGAAGACCGCTTCTAGGAGACATGGACTCTCACAGCTTTTTCACCAGGCTTTCATTTTATCCTTTAAAAAAATATATTGTGTGCTGATTTTAGCTCTCTGGCTGTTACTCTATGCAAAGAACGGGAGCCCCAATGTAAGCAGTCACGTCTGGTTAACAGTTATGGTAGTTTTGAAATACTGCCTTTCCGGAGGCGGGCTTCATCCAGGTGCATCAGACACATGTAAATATGGAGCATATTGTTGGTCTTTTTTTTTTTTTCCTTGGCAAGGAAGATTAGCCCTGAGCTAACATCTGCTTCCAATCCTCCTCTTTTTTGCTGAGGAAGATTGGCCCTGAGCTAACATCTGTGCCCATCCCCCTCTACTTTATATGGGACACTGCCACAGCATGGCTTGGTGAGCGGTGCGTAGGTCCCACCCGGGATCTGAACCTGTGAACCCCAGGCCACCGAAGCGGAGTGCGTGAACTTAACCACTAAGCCACTGGGCTCCTTATTGTTGGTCTTTTGAAGAATGACTCAGTCAAGTGAACGTGGAAGGACGTCATGATTTATCAACTGGTGTCCATCAGCTGCTGTCCAGCCAATGTGGTGGCCGACCGTGGGGTGTCCCTGTGTGCTCCCATCTTGGCTGCAGGGCTGCTTTCACCATCACACAGATTCCTACAACCCTTGAATTCCTAATGGGGCTTGTTTGCCAGCATCTGCCAGGCCTGGGTGGGGCCAGCCCAGGGACTTGTGACGAGTGACAGTGAACCGCAGGCCCTGCCCCAAAGGTGGCCATGTGACTTCCCTACAGACGCTTACACAACTGAGGGAAAGGCAGAGGGAGAGGCTCGGACAGCTGACCCGTCTCGTCTGTTGTGTGCTGGACAGCGTGGTCCCACCAGTGAACAAACAGAGAAACTCCTGCTGCTTGCCTTTGCAGAAAATTAAATAAGACATGACAGGGATGTGGCTTATGAAAAGGAAGAAAGGGGCAGAAAGGAGGTGAGGGAGGGCAGAGAGACAGTGAGAGAGGAGCTCTGTTAGAAGGTGGCTTAGAGGAGGTGAGGAACCCTGAGTCACAAAGACCTCGGTCATGGGGACAGTCCTCACAAAGACCCCTAGGAGGGGGCCTCAGTCATGGGGACAGTCCTCACAATGACCCCTAGGAAGGGACCTGAATCATGGGGACAGTCCTCACCAAGACCCCTAGGAGGGGACCTGAGTTATGAGGGACAGTCCTCACCAAGACCCCTGTGAGGGGACATAAGTCATGGGGGACAGTCCTTGCAAAGACCCCTGGGAAGGAACCTCAGTCATGGGTACAGTCCTCACAAAGACCACTAGGAGGGGACCTGAGTCATGTGGACAGTCCTAAGACCCCTGGGAGGCTGGTTCTTTCAGGTTCATTTGCAAAATGGGACCTGAGAGTGGGGACAGAGTGAGGGACAGG